AGCTGGGATGGTCAGGTACTTCTCAGGAAAGGTTTGTCCACTGGAAATGTTTCTGCACAACTCCGGGCATGAATTCTAAGCATAATGCAGAGCTGTGGATGGGAAGGGAATGCTTCCCATCTTTTTGCAGCCAGCAATGAGGCTTCTCCCTTTCCCTTTCCACCCTGAAGAGACTCGAGGGAGCAGTGCTGGGTGTAGGTTTGGAAGGGGCATCCACAGCCAATCTAACCTACTTGACAGTGCCTGGTGCTGAATTAGAGGGCATTTCAAGAATAGGCAGAATTCCTGCAACACAAATTGACCCAACATGATTTGAAACAATTAACCCTCTGATATCAAGAGTCAGGATTTCCTGACCCACAACTCTAATGTATTTTTCATTAGTTCTAACAGCTGGTGAGCGCAGCCCTCTGGCCTTAAGAGGAAGAGGTTTATTGCCTTCTCTTTTTCTTTTTTTTTTCTTTTTTTTCCAGAGAAACTCATCATGAACATGAGGAGCTTGGCACAAATAAAACATGGTGAAAGCAGAGCAGTAGGGCTGCAGTTTATCTGATTCAGTCTTTCTGTGCAGCCCCCTGCGAGTCTCAGGCTGCTGCTTCATAGAAAAATATAGTTCTGCTTCACAACTCCTGCACTGACTGCTCGTCTCATAAATCCAGGAGTATATTAGTTGCACTTGTGAATGTAACTTCTGGTAGCTGATTTGTTTGGAGGAAACCACAGATGTGTCTGCAGCGGGGAATGGAAATCATTTGTGCCCAGTATCGTTTGTGTCACTTGTATCTCACTTCTCAGGGTCTGCTTGTGAATTACATTCATTCTGCATTTGTAATTAGTGGGTGGCGTAGTTGGTGAAGGCTTGAAATGATATGTCTGTTCCACTAACCTGTGATAATTCACTGGATTATTAAGTTAAAACCAGCAAAAGAGGGATTGCTGACATGCTGTCCCTCGTACTGTTCCATTACCGGAGCAGACGTGACCAAAACCATCAGTGGTTTCTTTTTTTGTTGAACAAGTCAGTGCATATGTGTAAGACATCATTTCTATTAATCTTAATTGCATATTTTATTACCATTTTTACAATAGACCCTTTACCTTTTGGCTTTTATCTACTAGACACACACTGTTCACATCTTGTCCGGTCCCGTGCTTGTGTGAATCCTGATTATTTTCATTTCATTTCTAAGTCTTGCATTTCTGCTCTGTTGTTTTGGAAATCCAAAAGGGCTGTGTGTGAGGAGCCAGAGTGACTCCCTTGTTCTCCTCCTGCCCCCAGTGTGTGTTTCCCTCAGCTTCTCCACACACCTCGGCTTAATTCCTCTTGCCTCCACCTGCTCTTTGCGGTGATTTATGAATAAATGGGTATTCAAATGGGATTTTGTGTGAGCACTTTTCACTTTTCTTAGGGGCTCGTCTGCTGAGCAGTGGCCAAACCTGGAAATTACCTTGAATCTTAATTTGGATGGGTTTTGTGGGGCTTAATTGTTTGAACGTTTTGTAAGCGCGGCCGTAACGGGGTGTTTTATAACATCAGAAAAGATAGTTTTAATAAAGCTGTCTAGAGCTAGAAAGAGGAACTCTTTCTTTGATGCTCCTTTGGTAGATGAAAACATTTTTGTTCAATAGGAGACCAGCATCTTTTTTTTTGCTCATTTGAGACAAGTTCTGGCAACATACTGATATTCATTCAAATATAAATGCCATATTTCCTTTGAAATGCAAATTGTTTAAAGAAAAATAGCATATGGTAGAGGTAAGTACCTTTTCAAATCAGCTCCCACACTTTAGGGATGTGAGTACAGCTAAAATTATTCTTTGGAAAGAATCTGGAGCCTTTGACACATTGAAGCTTGAACTAATCAAGGCTTCCCAGTAAGCATATACACATATCCATATCAAGGAAACAGTGCTGAGAATACATGGATTAGCATAGTAATTTAACTGCCCCCTGCTAATCAACTTGAGCGACCAGCTGATGCATGTAGGATGCATTTGAAGAGACAACTCTTGCACAGCTCCATCATGGGCCAGGTAGCAGGCCGGGATCCGTGTGAAGATGGGTGTCTGTCTGTCTGTCTGTCTGTCTGTCTGTCTGTCGGTCGATGGGGGGACAAGAGGTGCAGGATGTGGAGGCTTCATGTGCCTAACTCAACATTCAGACTTTGCTTTTCGTGGACCAGAGAGCCATGGAATGGTTTGGGTCGGGAGGACCCTTAAATCTCATCTGCTCCAATCCCCCTGCCATGGGTGGGGACATCTTCAGCATTTTCACTGAGTACTGCTGGCTTCCTCTTTGTCACTGTCCCCTGCTAGTCTGCTGAAAGTCTGAGGCGCTTTCTGTTGTTGAGGCTTTACCCTTGAGGAAAATGAAAGGACTTTTGCCAGGTCTGGTTTGGGGTTTGCCCACTGTAGATGGGAAGAGCTGTGGGACTGTGCTGGAGAAGCTCTGTGTGACACACACGGCGTGCAAGAGCAGCAGTCCTTGTTTTGGGGTGGCAGCATTAGTGCCTAGTGTGGGATTCATGTCCTGCAGTTGGGCTGAGAAGTGGAAAACTTAGGGCTGGATTGGGAAATAATGATTTTTAAATAAGGTTCTAAGTAACGAGTTTGTGCTAGAGCTGAACACATCGAGGAGGGGGACAGGAAAAGAAAGGCACACTACCTTCTATGGTCTGGCCCTCCTGATATCTACTCAGGGATTCTGGCTCAGTGGTCTGATATGTCATGGGAATACACACCTTGGAGCACCTGGACAAAGTGGGATTTAATCCTGAATAAATACTATAATGAAGGTTGCAGGATAAAGGTTACCAGGCTATGGCAGTAGGGAAGAGGGAGCTGAGCTGGGTTCATCACTGTTCAGTAAGGTGTCACATGAGTGCACTTGGCACCTGTTTTGTGCTAGCAGCCCATACCTTTGAGAGAGGTGCAGTGGAAGAAAACTTCTTCTTTGGTTCCCAGAATAAGTCACTTTTCAGCAGGTTCATGTGACAGCGTGGGGTTGGAGTTTCCTCAGATGGCATTGAGGTGAGAGTAGAGCTTTTGTTGCTGACACGATGACATAGAAGTCTGGATGTTCTCTTTTGAAGGTTTGGTTTTGCATCATGGTTAGAAGGTGATTGGACACTTGTGTTCAAAAACTCGTGGACTAGGTGGAAGATGTCAGCATAAAAATATCACTGCTTGTGTTGAGTCTGTGTTGGCCTAAATCTCAAGTTTGTAAAACCCACTCAGTCTCAAACTCTTGTCGCTCACATCAACCATTCCCTCTAATGTGGTGGATCATCAAAATAATTTATTAATATTAATTGTTTTTCTGGATTGTGAAAACCAGGAGAAAAGGGGATTTCAAACACCACAGAAGCTGATTTGGAATGAGAGATTTCTTTTAAGACAGCACAAAATACAACTTTTGTCAGCTCATGTTTTCATTTTCTGTTGTGGTTTTAAAATACTGAATTACAATGTAGTCCTCTGCTCTGTAGTCTCATGTCTTGGGAGGTCCCAACATGGCTCCAAAACTCACCTTAGACTCTACATAATTAACCAAATGAGTTTTTCTGTCTGTATTTGATGTCTTCAAAGCAGGGATTGCCAGGCAGAAGTTCTTGAGGGCTGAGTAAGTACATTGAAGACACAGATACTGTGATGGATCTGTGTTAAGGACTAAAGAGGAGATTTTGTCTTGGGAAAGGGGAGGAGAGAAAGGGACAATTATGCCAACTCTAATAAACACAAAGTAGTTCACTAAGCTCTGCTGTCTTCCCAAAGGCTGCTCTGGGAAAAGACATAATGATAGAACTGGGAGTCAGGAGATCTGGGTTTTATTTTCAAGTCTGCCACAATCTTCCTTTGTGGCCCTGGGTCATTTAACCTCTGAAAAATGGGGGAAATGATAGCAGATAATTAACAACCTCACAGGAGCATTGAAAATTAATTCATTAATTTTTCTGAACTCATCAGTAGAAGGTGCAATGGCAATGCAAAGTGTGAGGGTACGTTATAATATTGCGTCTGTTTCTTTCCCTTTGCATGTGTTTTTTTTAAGAGTGTTCTGCAATCCGTAGAGGACCTGTGGGGCACCTTTAGAGAGCTGCCATGAGGAATGAAACTGGCACTGTAAATTCTTTGTGGCGTTATGATATGCAAGACCCGTGCTAGGAATGGAATAAAATGTGCTCAGAACCCAAAAGTGTGGAGCAGGTTTTGGCTCATAGCAAGTTGTGGGTAAGACCATCAGAAACCTGAGTTTCTGGAAAGGTTTTAATTGTTTCTACTCTAAAATGTATTCAAGCAGATCCCACTTGTCCTGTTTTATGGTGAGAAACCTGTCCCTGTCACTCCTGCTCTCACACAGCTCCCAGCATTTTAATGTCCTAGGCCTCAGTGATTGTGAAAACACAGAAGTGTTAGCGGGGTAAAGGCTGTTCTTTGTGTCACATTCCAGGGACGAGCCCCAGGAATGATCCCTGCAGTCAGCCCAGTGACTGCTTTGTGTCACAATGCTGTTTTAAGATTAAATGTCCAAGAAAGTTTGTTGTTCTTTTTCCCTTGGCTTTTCAGTGCTGGCAGTCATTTGCTCCCCATCATTGTGTTCTGGGGGGACATACCTGTGTCAGGTATTATTTAGAGGTGGATTGTTTTAAACTCTTGGAGTTGGCTCAGTTGTATAAACAGTGGCTTTTAGGAATAAATTGATTTTCTGTGCACAGTCTAACAAGCAAACTCCAGAGAGTGTGCCTGGTAGCAGGGTGGTGGAGGATCGTGTTTCCCAGAAGGTGAATGAACAGAATGAGGTGACACCATGAGAAATTTGGCTTTTTTTGTCTTCCTAGCTTGATTTGAGCTGGTCTCAGGACTATCAGCACCAGCACTTCAGGGAGAGTGGGTGAAGTAATCCCTGTTTCTGCTCTTGTTCAAGATACCCCCCATCCATCCTGACGCAAAACCCCTTTTGTCCTCTCTATTGACACGATTTGTTTTCCCTTTGTGCCTAGGGAACGTGACTACTAGCACATCTGTGTCTCAGATGGCCAGTGGGATCAGTCTGGTGTCCTTCAACAGCCGCCCGGACGGTATGCACCAGCGCTCCTACTCGGTCTCCAGTGCAGATCAGTGGAGCGAGGCCACAGTCATTGCCAACTCTGGCATTAGCAGTGGTAAGAAACCTGGAGCTTGGGGGGGTCACGTGCTTTGGGATCAATGGGGAGTTTGGTGCTCTTGCTTTTTATCTCAAAAGGAAAAAAAACCCAAAATGATGCCAGCCCCGTTGTGCTGTTGGGTGCTGAACTTGGCAGTGTCCGAGGGGAAAGGGGAATTGGAAAAAAGGGAATGGGTCCATGCAATACTTCTTTTATGAGGGCACAGAGTGACAGGGCAAGGGGGAATGGCTTTAAAGTGAAAGAGAGGAGGTTTAGCTTGGATATTAGGGAGAAATCCTTCCCTGAGAGAGTGGTGAGGCCCTGCAGAGGTTTCCCAGTGAAGCCGTGGCTGCCCTGGAAGTGTCCAAGGCCAGGCTGGATGGGACTTGGAGAAACCTGAAAGAATTCTGTGATTCTTTTTTCAACATGAAGAGCTAATGTAGATACAATACTGCTTAATTTTAATTTCAGGTACATGATCATAGGATCCCAGAATGGTCTGGGTTGGAAGGGGCAGGGAGACCTTCCACTATCCCAGGTTGCTCCAAGCCCCATCCAGCCAGGCCTTGGATGCTTTCAGGGATGGAGCAGCCACATAATGTGTGTTGTTTGCTCGGATTCCTTGCCCTGTGTGATGGGTATTAGCAGTAAATGACCCTCCAGATCTCCTCAGTGTGTCCTTTCTCTGCTGTGCTCTTGCTCCATTGCCTGCACACTCCTGGCACCGTCTCAGTGTTTCCTCTGTGGAGCATTAACAGCATTAAAAGGAGCAGACACTATTCCTGGTGGTGTTTTGGGATTAGTACTTTGTAGCAATACTTGTTTTTAAAGGGTAGATGTGGTATTTGCTACCAGACCAAGCTGAATAGGTCAGGAGAAAGGGGAGGAATGTTGTTTCTGATGGCTGCCCCTAAAATAGGACCAGTCAGGGGAATATGGGAAATATTTCACGTGTCCCATATATATTTCTGTGTCTGTATAAAGTCTGAATCTGACTATAGCATCCTGAGAGCATCTCTGGGGTTTCCAGCAGCTCTGGACAGGTTTTCAGTGCCATCTTAGGAGAACAGAAGGTTTAAAATCAGGATCACCTTGTTTCAGAGTGGCATTAACTATCAAATTCATACTTAACAAAGCACAGACTGTTTTCTAGAGCTATAACTATGTGGGCAGCACCTTCAGGAGAATTTGCATTAAAGTGGTCCAGATTTTGCCTAAGAATTTTCTGGTTGAGCCTTGCAGGAAGGCAGGGATGTTGTGAAGCAGAACAGTGAAATAAATGCTCCAGCCCTGTTCTTTTCTGTGTCCACCCAGCTCACCCACTCCTGGTAAAGCTTTTAGGGGAGGCAGCATTCATTGCCCAGCATGGATGCTGAGCTGGTTTCCCACTTAAAATTACATATTTTCTGTTTCTTTTTCCTGAGCTGCTTTGTCATTTTAATCCATCTCCCTTCTAAAAGGTTAGGCCAAAGTTTGGGCTTTTTTTGTGCCTTTCATCCCGTAGCTTTTCTAAGGCAAGATGAAGAGTGTTGAGTGCTGGCTCTAGAAGGAAAGCAGGAGCTGTAGGCTGCAGTCCTGTGCACCATGAGACACCTGCAGGCAGCTGAGCAGGTGCCATCCCTGTGCCAGATGTCCCAAATGAGGCTGCAGGGGAGAAAAGCCTTCAAAATTCAGTGAGCAGAGTGGAAATAAAATCTTAAAAAGCAGAAATAGCACCTAAATTCCTGCCTTTTGCCATCCCCTTGACATCAGAATGCTGTGTTTGCTGGACTTGCCTTTTGCTCCTGTTGCTGATCCCGAGCTGCTTTGCAATTCCTGATGAGGGGAACCTTTTCTCCCACCCCAGCTCTGCACCCTCCTATATGTGCAGTACCTTTTTCTGACTTGACATTCATATGGGATTACTTCTGGCTCAAAAGAGATGACAGCCAGAATTACCTGTGAAATACTTACTTTGAAATTGCAGGTGACTGGTGGGTACTTGTGAATCAGCCTACCTCGAATAATTTCTTGCAGAGGCTCTAATATTTTTAAAGAAAAAAATTTTAGAAGTTGGTTTTTTTAATAAATACGGAGGGAAAGTTGGATTAAAAACGAGTTTTAGGCAACTAAGGGTCAGCAGACTCAGAAGTATTGCGCTAAAACTCCTACAAAACCTCAAGAATAATTGATTGCTCTGAGTGTATCATCTTTGGGTAAGCTCAGAGATGTGTCCTTTATGTTGGCAAGTTGACGCATGAAAAACCCTTTTTAATTTCTGGGGGTTTTTTCTCCATTAAAAGATTTTTGAATTTTAGTCATAAAAAGCTAATACTGTGAAAGCAGCAGGTATGGCAAGAAGCTAAGCATCTTTTGGAATTCAAATGCCAATGTACTGGAGAATATGCCTGCTTATTGTCACGTGGTTTTATTGTAGACAAAATAACATATTGGGATTCAATTTTTCTCTGCACCTTTTTTTCACATTAAATTAATACTTTGTGTGGCTCCAGAGAACTTTTCAAAGTCTTCCAAACCAGACCTTTGGTTTCCTGGGGCTTCTGTCTTTCAAGCAGCTGTGAACATCTCCTAATTAGATAAATTACTTTGTAGTGGGCAGAGCCACAAAACAGGAGGTGCTGGTTAAATTAAAGGGGAAAAATAGAAAAATCCATTCTCTGAAATGGAATGCCCCACTGCTTTATGACTATTACTGTTGTAAGGTTTTACATTTAAGTACCTGAGGTTTAAAATTAAATGTCTAATATAATTTGGCACTGGTAACATGAAGCCCACGACTGCCCTGGGAGAAAATCTCGACAGCTTAGTTTGGTGTTTCAAATTGCTGCGTGCTGGATAGTGAGCAGCTCGTGCTGCTGGCTCACTATTTAGCTCAGTCCCACCTGCTGTTCAGCATCATTTCCAATGCAGGAACATATTTGCCTTAAAAACTCCCGAAATTTTAAAAGGCTGATCCAGCAGCACATGAAAAATTAATTCTTTTTGCCTTTTTTCCTTTTTTTTTTTTTTTTCCCCTTCTCCTCCATACTCTTGTGAGTGCTTGACAGAAGTAATTTTAGCAGCGAGAGAGAATAAAAACTGGGGGCAGTAAATCCCTGTCCAAGAATCTCTTGTGTAGATTCTTTATGGACTCAGAATTGATCTTCGTGTCAGATCCTGATGTAGTTTCAACTGTTTATCACCCTAATGGTGGTAGAGAGACCATGAACATCAACTTATAATCCCCCATGAAAGAAATTGGTGTTTGCAGTCAATGAAGGAGCAGCTCAGCTTTATTGATAGATTTGGAACAATTACTACTGCTCCAGCTATTGGCCCAGAGGTTTTCCTGGATCCCACTAGAAGCCTGTGATGTTTTTTCCTCTGATAAATCTTCCCCTTGATGTTTTTGGGGATTTTTTATTACCCAGAATTATCTGTAGCTGCTCATTGCTGGGGAACAGGAGGGTTTCTGGTCTCAGGGGAGCCATTTGTGATCTGTTTGGGTGTTACAGTTCTGTTCTGGATTGTGCATTCCACAATTCCTCCTCTGTAAATCCAGCTCTTATTTCCATAAAATCACGACATTTTTACAGGTGGAAAAACCCTCTAATAGCATCAAGTCCAGCCCTTAACCCAGCACTGCCAAGCCCACCACTAATCCCTGCTCCTAAGTGCCAAATCCAAATGTTTTTTGAGCACTTTCCAGGCATGATGACTCCACCACTTCCCTGGGCATCCTGTCACTGACCACCCTTTCCATGAGGAAATTTTCCTGCCAGGAGGAGACAGCCGGGGGGTTTGGGCTCTGCTCCCAGGGAACAGGGACAGGAGGAGAGGGAACGGCCTCAGGCTGGGCCAGGGGAGGCTCAGGGGGACAGCAGCAGGAATTTCTCCATGGAAAGGGAGCTCAAGCCTTGGGATGGGGCTGCCCAGGGAGGTTTGGAGTGCCCATCCCTGGAGGTGCCCAAGGAAGGGCTGGATGTGGCACTCAGGGCTGGGGACAGTCACATGTCGCACTCGGTGGCCTTGGAGAGCTTTTACAATTCCATGATTTTGGTGGTGCTGATGCCACTGAAGAGATGGGTCTGTCTGCTCCCCAGTCTTCACAGTTTGTGCATCTCCAAAGAACCTGAAAGAACACACCCCCAAATTCACATCAGAAGTTTTTGTGATGCCAGGAAGGCCTTGCAAAAATGAGGATTGTGAGACATCACTGTGAGGATGCAATTTCCTACCTGGGGGTGAAGCAGCAGCTTGGTTCATTCTCTGTTTAAATGTCCTGTTTTATCATTTGGCTTCTGTGCCCCGAGACCATTAGAGGGAAGGATTCCTTCCTGAAGAGCACTCAGCTCTTCTGACAGAGCACTGCAAACAGCACTTTGCATGGGGCAGGCATTTCTGCTCTCTGCACTTGTAAATTGTCATTTGAATTCCAGCATGATGTAAAATTCTGCAGTAAATCAAATATCTGTTTAAATATCATCCACTTAGGCTTTATCACTGTACAATTGCTTGTACGGGCCATTTGAGCTCAGCTGTAATTTATGGAAGTTGTAATACCGGGTGTCTTCGGAGTTTCTAACAGTTTGGTGTTGGGGTTTATTAATATCAAATTGAGTTCTCACTGTGCCATGGGGTGTGAGAGGTCGCTGGAGTGTTGATATTAATGCAGACCTTGCAACTTGCCTTACTTGTCTGATCCTAAGTGCTGGGAATGATTAAATGATGGAACCTTCTGCTCTGCCTTGGAAAAGGAAATGGTTCAGCTTGCATCTGACATCAGAAAATGTCATTTAGAGCTGTTGGAATTCCATAGGAAAGTTCTTCATCAGGATCAATGATATAATTTCAAATAGATTCATAGATTTTTGGTCAGTGTATACAGATCTGATTACTGACTTTGGTTTAGGTCAGAAGAGCTTTTTCCTGCTTTTCTAATATGGAAATCAGGACTGAAAAGCAAATACAGATTTATTTTCTCTTTTTTTTTTTTTCCTAGCTGCTTTAGAGCTACTCTGGGGCTTTCTGTACTTCTT